GTGAGTCGTACTATATATGATTGAACACATAGTGAGCTGTACTGTACATGATTCAACACTTAGTGAGTCGTACTATATATGATTGAACACATAGTGAGCTGTACTGTACATGATTCAACACTTAGTGAGTCGTGTTATACATGATTGAACACTTAGTGAGCTGTACTGCACATGATTGAACACTTAGTGAGTTGTACTGTACATGATTCAACACTTAGTGGGCTGTACTTTACAGGATTCAACACTTAGTGTACCATACTGTACAGGATTCAACATATATTTATTCATGCTGTGCCTGATTTAACACACAGTGAGCTGTGCTGATTGAACACATCAGCCATACAGCTAATGGCTCACTAATAAATTAGTAGAAAAAATGAAGAATAATTTGTGATTGATAAACATATTACTGAACATCCTGTATTTTTCAAAAAGTCTTGACTTTACTAATAAATTCTACAACTCTCTGTTGGTAGAACACAAGTATTTTTATTTCCTAAAAGTCTACATGTCTACTAATGCACCTATTTTGACTGCATGTATGAAAATGTAAATATATAATTCATTTTCAGTTCAAACAATTTGTCATCATCAGGTGTAACAGTTAGCTATATATAAATACTGAGGTGATTCTCATGCTAGAGCAAAATAACAGTGAAAATTAAAACTTAGCCAAATATATATATATATATATATTTAGCATAGATTATGTCTGTTATTCATAATGTTAACTTTGAACAGTGATAAATAAAAAGATCATAGGATAAAACAAAATTACTCCATTTACTTTTATTCAATAGTTTTCTCTTTTTATTATCATAAAATCTGAGAACAAGGTCTTGAGCTGAAGATTGTCGTATAAACCAGCAAGCTACTTCAGCCCAAAATAATATAAAGTGAAATTTGCTGCAATGAAAGAAAATTTATGCATTTTCATTTTTCATATACAATTGTATAAACAGTAGTTTTATTGTGTTAAATTTTTAGTTTAAGAAAAGTATGTTCATTCAATTTGTAGACCATTTTATCATTATTTTTTTCAAAATTATTCACTCATTAACATAAATGTTTGAAGTATTTTTCCACGGACACCATCTAAAGTTCTTATTTTATTTTTTTTACAACTTATAAATGTTTTTGAATGGCCAGGTGGTTAGGGAACAAGTCGCAATCAGCGGGTCACGGGTTCGAATCCCCGTCCCACCAAACATGCTCGCCCTTTCAGCCATGGCGACGTTATAATGTGATGGTCAATCCCACTATTCGTTGGTAAAAGAGTAGCCCAAGAGTTGGCGGTGGGTGGTGATGACTAGCAGCCTTCCCTCTAGGCTTACACTACTAAATTAGGGATGGCTAGTGCAGATAGCCCTTCCTAATTGCGCGAAATTAGGAAAACAAAACAAACAAAATGTTTTGGAGGAAATGCATTGCATTGTACTTACTAACAAGTTTGTATTGGAATTAAAGTTACTGGAAATTAGGAATCTGGTAATATAATACTTACCCCTTTGATTATTAACTGAGAAATATATATATATTTAATATTGTAATCTTGGAATATTAGATACATAATCAGCTGCATATAAATAAATTTCCCATATAGACATTTAGAGGTGTTAAGAATTTTGTAGAGATAATCAAATTCAAAATTATTCTACTAAGCATTACAAGTGTACCAAACCTTGTTGTTTTTTTTCTGCAAATAAAATATAAATAAACAATCATATGAAGACTAGTTACAATGTTTGCGATAAGTATAATAATCTAAAAATCAGCATGAAAAAAACCCATATACTAAATTTAGTTGTGTGTATTTGTTGTTTTTCCCCAACAAATTTGAAACTCAAAGTTCTTGCAAAGTTCCTTAGCTTTGAAATAATGTTTTTCCCATATGACTTCTAATTTCTTGAGTTTAAATTTAGTTTATTTTTTCCTAGAAGTTGTAACTTCTAATACACTAGTTTTTCATGATATTATTTAATTATAGATTAATTCTGTTAATTAATTAATTCCACATGCACCAAACAAGTTGTAAACAAATTTCTCCACTCATTTGACTAATGAAGCAAATTGTGCATGAATTTTACATCTTTATTAGATATTTTTATGTTATTTTGTTTCTTGAATCTGGTTGTTATATTTTCTCAATTGTTTCTGCCTTTTGAAAAATTTTTTAAAATTATTTATCATAATTTTGGAAAAACATTGACCATACTTGTCAGGTGGAATGTCTTGAATGATAAAAGTATTGGTTTGACTTGGAATATTTTGTTATGAAAGATTTTTTTTTTTAACTTCATACTGAATATTAGTCTTTTGAACCTGTCCATTCATGTCTAGTGTCTTAGATACTGAAATTTATTGTTATTCATTTCATCCAAAAACTGAACATTTTTTGTAAAAGTGAGTGAAGTTAATTCTAAACCCTAAAATTATATTTATGTAACATTAACAAGTGTATAAAGCTGCAAGGTCTCAAAGGAATTGTTCACATAAGAGTAGTATGCTAAAAAATGCTTTTGGAGAAATCATTTTCTGTTTTCTTTATTTTTAGGCTGATAAAGATAAAGACAAACGTATAAGCCAAAAAGAGTTTTTAGACTTGACACAACAGCAAGACTTTGAAGAAGATGAAGGATGGAAGGTGAAAAATAACTAAAATCGCTACTCTATAAAGATTTTAAAGCAGTGTGACAAATCTTGATTATAAGCTTAATGATACAGTTTTATTTATGTTGAAAATGATAATAACTTTGTTAAAAAAAATAAACTTTCTAATTTTATCTCATCAGACATGTGTTTAAGTAGGAAACGTTAAATATTTAAAATATGTTGAATTTCATGTTTAACTGTGGACATGTATGAGACTGTCTATACTGTTGTCATTAAATATTTATATTATGAATAGAGTAAACATTGTATGGTTAGGTTACAGGCTATGGTAGAGTTTGAATTGTGGAAAAATTCACTTGCCAAAAGAGATTCAATTTGAAAGTTGACTCACACATTTGCAGTATCTATCACTAGGAATTTTCTCACCTGTTGTGCTCAGTACTTTAAACCCATGCTGTTGTCACTTCACATTTTCACAACAGTTACAAGTTTTATATAACAGTAACTTGCATGAAGACCTAAACAGATATTTTTTGTTAATGAATAAAAGTAATGATTCTTAATTACTTAACACCAATTATCTTTTATAAGCATTTTTTTGTTCGTAGTTACTAACTTTTTCCAACCATACAACTTGCATTTGGGCAACAATTGTTGAGAGTATTGATTATAATTGACTAATATTTGTTCAAGCCATTATCATTGGAACTTTTATCTGGTTTCAATTTTGTTAGATTTATTCTTGTAGAAATCAGTCAAACTAATCACAAATGCTGATTTTGTTCAATCAGATTAAATGTTGAACTTCATTTTGTGGTTTTTAACCCTTTCGAGACAGGTCACGGGTGAAAAGCTATGTCATCTCATTTGTTGACTCGCATTTAATACTTTATTGTACTACCATTTCATGAATGTATATATCAATAAGTTTGGTATCAAACTGTAGATTTTAATTCAAATTTAGTACTATACATTACTCAATTTCTTAATTTATAAGTAAATACAAT